TTGTTTTTGCTGAGACTTTATGTTTTTCTTCTTTTTTTTAATGAGTATGTTTGTTAACTTTCTTTGTGGTTACCATGAATTTTACCCTTATCTTTCTAAGTTTGAAGCAGTCTATGAAGGTCAACATTTTTGTGAGCTTTTTAAGCACCATCATCATATTGTTGACTCACTAAATATTTATGCTTCTAAAAGTTAATGTTTCTCTCATTCTATACATGTATTTTTCTTGTTTTAACTTGAATGCAGAACCATATAATTAATATACTAATAATATAAATAATGGAGTTCCTGGGTGGTAGAAACAGTTAGTGTGCTTAGCTGCTAACCAAAAATTCAGCCATTGAAAATCCTCTAAAGTACAGTTCTACTCTGACACAGACGGAGTCACCATGAGTCAGAATCGACTCTACAGCAACTGGTTTACTGTATCATCTATTATTTTTCCCAGAACTTTACAATTTTACTTGTTTGTATTATTTTGAATCTTGATTTGAACTCTAGCAGATTAGTTATTACTAGAAAAATGTTCTTATTTTTCCTATATTGTTTTCTAAAATAATGAATAGAGTAAGATCAAAGCAAAGTATGTACGAAAAAAATTTATGAGGCTTCATATCCAACTACTGATCAACACTTTAACAATCTAAGAAGTAACTATGGCTTTGTCACACAGATCACTGTTCATAATGTTATACACAAGGATATCATGGGTGCCTTCACCAATGTTGTTAATTCCTGTATCTTTGTCAATCCCCACATCCAATCATTAAATCCTATCAAGTCTCATGACTGAGTCTAGATCTCTCCATCTCATTGCCTTACTTATTTCAAACCACACTCATCTGGGATGACAAAATAGCCTTCAACTATTTTTCATCCTCCCAATCTCTTTTCCACACAGAAAGTCAGAGTTATGTAACAAAAGGTCAGTCTGACCATTTTTAACCCTTCAGTAGCACTACATTGCTCTGAAATCAGTAGGCCCCACAGAATCTGAACACTTCTGACTTCTCCCATCTCATCTACCACAACCCCAAACTCCCTTTGCCATGCACACACACATCAACTCCTATACACTCTATACTATGGTCAGATTATCCTGAGATAATTTTCATTTACCCAAAATTGCAATGCTCTCTCTTGCTTTTCACCTAGCTAACTCATTACCTTCATACTTAAAGGAGGCCTGGTGGCACAACAGTTAAGTACTTGGATGCTAACCAAAAGGCTGACAGTTCAAACCCACCCAGCGGCTCCATGGAAGAACCACCTCGTGATCTGCTCCCATAAAAATTACAGCCAAGAAAACCCTATTGGGCAGTTCTACTCTGTCACACGGGGTCATTATGAGTTGAAAATCAACTTGATGACACCTAACAGCAACAACAACATACATTCTTAAAGTCTCAGGTTAGATACCACATACTTTTAGTAATCTTCCTTGACTCCCTCCCACCACAATGGAATTAGGTTTCACTTCTATGTTCACATAATGTCCCATGTATGCTCCATCTAGTGTTTATTATGATATGTTTTAATTGCTAGTTTATTTGACTGCCTTCACCATGAGACTGTAAGCCTTTTAATATATTATTTCTACCTCTAAAATTAGGACACCCATAGTAAATGTGCAATACGTATTTTTCGATGAAGGAAGAAAGAAGGTGTCCTGTAGCCGAATACATTGTTTCTTGATGTCTCAAGACTATTCTAGGATAATAATTCATGAAGTCCCTCATCTAGGTCCTGGTCTTATCCTCATTCAGGCCCTGGTCTTATCTAACCAAATCCCATGTACATTTTGGTGCAAAGCCTCATGAGTTTATTAGCGTTTACAGGCCTCATATGATAGGTATTTTGAATACATAGGTAAAAGCAGAGAGTTGGGAATTCTCAAACTTCAATTAAAGTGGAAATTTTCAATGTAAAATGTAAACAGGGCTTTTTCAGGGTTCTATTAATAACTGGTACAAGAATTACCATTATTGTTCTATTCATTCTAATACAAATATGATTTGCATGATTATCTTTCCCTTTACATTATGTTGGGAGGTAGGGAGAAGAGAGTTAACATAGGCAGCACACTGATTTTACCTGATAGTACGAAGAAGCTCAGTATCTTTAATAAAGACTGTTACCCCAGCAGGTTCTCTCTTCCAGCATAATAACTGGATTCTCATTTACTGCTGGCTTCTGGCCTCTGGCAAATTCTTTCTCTTCTAGGAGGCTAAACATAAGGTTGTGTCCTATCTAGTCTCTATACCAATATCAGGATTAGTTGCCAAGAACAAGAATGTTGTCCAAAATCTTGGAAAATTACTAGTTAAAACATGTACTTTTTATAATAAAAAAGCAACACCCTTTGGATCTTCAGAGAATCAAAAATTCTTTAATAAGCACTAATACAAGGAAAGAAACAAAAATTTCAGGGAGGAATTCATGAAAGGATGATACACGGGTTGGAGGAGGGAGGAAAGTTATTAGTTGGAAAACATTCATATACTAACGGAGGGTCAGAGCTGGGAGATCCATTGGCCTTCCACAGAAGAGCAAAAAAGAAATAGCCACAATCTTTAGAAGTGGAACCTATGGAGAAAAGCAGTAGCACATCTCCAAATTCACAAAAATGTGAAAATGAGTAAAGGATCACTGTCCTCAAACCAGGCAATCCTATTGCTTCCTCAGTCACAGCAACTAAGAGTTTTAAAATTTGCCTCTACTTGAGTCATGTGATTATTTATTATTTATGGGCGGCATATATACAGCTCATGTTTTACTAATGTAAAATTAATTAATAAACGTTCAGAAAGAACTTTGAAGATGAAAGGTTGTGTAAGTGCTATTATCATTATATCATTATCATAAAACACATAAAATCACAGGATATTATAAGCTCAATAAGTGGAGAATGACTGTGCTGTGCAGCACTCTAGGAGGAAATGGCAAAGGGACAACCTCAGCAGAGACAGCAGGCATGGACACCTCTGCCGAAAAGGTAGGTTTAAAGGGGGTGTGCAGCAAGAGGGTTTTCCATTGTCCCTCATATAATTTCCTGAAGCGACTAAATTAAGTAAGGTAACTTATTTTGTATTTTAAAGTTCTTAAAAAGGAGTTGCGGCTTCAACTTTTTTATGGAATAGGAGCAATATAAATGATAAATCAAGGAAAACTAAAATGATTACGACTGACCGATTTTAATCATTACAGTCTGTTTTGCTTGTGACAAATTGCAATGAACATTCATGAAAATTACGTGTATGATTGCTCAAAATTGAAGATGTTTGGGGGATTTTACTTTTATAAAGATAATTTTGCTTTGATATTTTCTCTTTGAAATATATATATATATACTGTCCTTTAATGTGTGTATATATATGTATGTATACATATGTGTATATGTGTGTATATATATGTAAGCAGTGATTTATGTTTACATATAGACAGTAACATTTATGTTCACAATATGTTATTTTACCTATAGGAAGATGTAGATCTAAGTTTAGGTCTTAATTTTTAATTATTGAAAATCACAATGCTTCACTGATATACATTTTTAGTCACGTAATTTAACAGTTTAGTTGAAAACAACAACATAGGATTTTATTCCTTCCTGTTGGCAGTGCCAAACGCTCAGATGGCAACTGGCCAGAAAGCCAAAGAAATGTGCTGACTGGTTCCACGGCACACACAGATGGAAAAATACATTTAACATTTTGATTCTTAAGCTAATTAAATTAACACACAAAGATAAACATTTATATACACATTACAGTCTTTCCTCGTACTCCAACTAAATGCATAAACCTACTAAGCCTCTTATTTTTAATAAAATTATTAGATAATTTTTTTCTGGCTTTGATATCTTGCCATCATCTAGACTCTAGGTGAACAGCATAATACTGGGTAGAGTGTAACTTCCCGATAAACAGCTTTAATTATCAGTCACTTTACACATTCACATTGATAGTTAGCTTAATAAGCTATAAGGGAACCTTTGGATTTTTTTTCCACCAAATTAAGCTACTGTTAATCCTTTTAATTAACAGAAAATCCTAGCAAAAATGTTTCATCTCAGCTTCTAAGTAATATGCTCTATGTCCTTCATGTTAACTTGTTGTGTTCCATAAACAATATCAAAACATATTAATTCCTTGTGATACATAAACAATAAGTGAGAAGTAATGTGTAGGCAGATGCCAGTTTCATACTTTCAAGAAATTAATAATTAGTTTTTTAAATACAACTCACCACCAAGCCACTGCTTCTGAAATCCCTATATAATTCTCCAATATCATTACCACGTTATTATTATTATACCTTAATGGATTAAGGATACATTTGGTGAATAAACAAAATACATATGGAAAATTAAATTACATTGTTGAAATTAAAGGAAGTTGTTTTATTTCTTACTTCAATTTCTACCCAAGACTCAATTTCTGTTAAATTATTTAAAAAAGTCAACTAGCAGTCCACCTATTAACATTTTTGGAAAATGGAGTTCCTATGTCTGAAATTTTTAGAGAATGTTTTAAAGAAAATTATTTGGATGTCAACAAAGTTGAATTTTCCTATTTAATTTAGATACAAATGTTTTTAAACTGGATAACTACTTTTCAAATCAATAAAACCTTTTGCAGGTAGAAATAACATCTGCATCTTTGAAAACCAGGATGAGAATGACAGACACTTTGTTCATCTGCCTTTAAAATTAATTTTTATTAATTAACCATAATTTCTCATCTGTGATTCAAGATATATACATCACTGTAGATATTTTAGATTTTGGATGTAAGATAAATGAGAGGTGCAAGTCAGAGTGGCTTGTATGATTTACTTTTCCTTCTGGAAATCAGAAAAGAAGAATCCTAATTCTAACTCTAACCCTAAAGACACTGATAATAAGCAGAGGAGATACCCCTACCTGAGATGATAATGATCCCTAGATTTGAAATGTTTTAAAAAGATAAATTGGCTTACAGTTCCACTTTCTTTAAAATGAGAAAACTGAAATGGGTGATTTGCAAAGTCCCTTCCTGCTCTAAAAGGTTACATGAGTCACTAACTCCAGGAACTCTACATTGGAAGGAAGACTGAAGTCAAACAATACTCTCTAGTAGACAAATTCTCATATGCAAGAATTACCTGAATATCACCTTGTAGATAAATCAGAAGCAGATACAATAAATGAAGTTTATCTCAGTCAGTCGAATTATACTAAAATTGCCAATATTCAACTTCTGTAACCTCAAAAGCAGCATTTTTTCATATGGTTCAACCTATCATAAGGACATGGTTGAGAAGAATGAGAAAATATACCTTGAATATTTGCCACATCAAATTTTACACTCCATCTATCACACTGGCAAGCTGTATTGAATAAAATATGAAGACATATGCCTTGATAATATTCCATATGTGGGAATGGAAGAAGACTTTTTAGGATGACATGCTCATCTATACGAAATTAATCTACCACGGTTTTAGGGTATTATTTAGTCAATTCCTTTTCCAAAAACTTTAAACAATATTTGAGGATCAATAAGTGAGCTAGTCAGATTGAAAAGGTGTTTTCCCCTAAGATTTTATATAGTGAGATTTCTTTAAGGTTGTTTCATCTTATTATAGACCAAAAAAAGTCATAGGCATCATAAATCTATAGAAATATTGAGATATTAATTTTATGTGCAGTGTGCAAACATAATTTATAAAGTTATTTCAAGTGGTGAGTATTTTTTAAAGTAAAATAAGATTATTAAAGAGATTAAGACTTAGAAATTTCATGTGCATTGAATATCTGGTTTTTACTATTTTTTCTAGTTCATCTATTTAGAGAATGACTGTTAACTAACTGAAAAATAAATTTTCTGACAGATATTTGATTCTATTTGCAAATAAAAATCAAATTAATACAGGTATTTCAAGCTAAATCAATATTTTGTACAGTCATTTCAATGTGTTGTGTCTGTTTAGTATTTCTATCTACCAGAAACATCTTACACACGTACACAGAAACACATACACAGTCTATAAAACAAGATTATTTTTAATAGTTCTTGCACTTGACATTTATCAGTAGTCTTGTTTATCACTGTACTTCTCTTGCCTAGCACAACACCTTGCACATAAAAAATGCTAAATAAATATGACTAGAATCAATTATTTAATTAACTTCTAAAGAGACATTTCTTCCACATCCGTGTATGCCACAGAAAAACATTATTTAACAATATTGGAAAATATGAATGTAGACAAATAAAATTGCCCCCACTTGATAAATAATACTCTAAAAGTTATTGTTATTATTATTCTCTTCCTCTGTCCAACTATTATTTCCAAGCTGTACATAATATTTAATGCCTATAACAACCCCAACTCATAGCAACCCTATAGGACACAGTAGAACTGCACCATAGGGTTTCCAAGGAGCAGCTGGTGGATTCGAAAGCTCTTAACCACTGTGCCATCAGGGCTGTGAATCAGAACTGACTCCACAGTAATGGAGTATAACAGCCCCATCAGTCTGAAAATAATGATGAATAAATCCTTGTGTTGATTTAGGTTTAATTAAAGGCAGTCGTTTAAACAAAACATGGGGATACTACGTGGCTTAAAAACAGGAAAGGTTTGTGTCAGGGTTGTATCCTTTCACCATACTTACTCTATCTGTATGCTGAGAAAATGGACTATATGAAGAAGAATATGGCATCAGGACTGGAGGAAGACTCATTAACAATCTGTGATATGCAGATGACACAACCCCGCTTGTTGAAAGTGAAGCAGACTTGAAGTATGTACTGATGAAGATCGAAGACTGCAGCCTTCAGTATGGATTACGCACCAACACAAAGAAAACAAAAATCCTCACAGCTGGACCAATGAGCAACATCATGATAAACACAGAAAAGACTGAAGTTGTCAAGGATTTCATTTTACTTGGATCCACAATCATCGCCCATGGAAGCAGCAGTCAAGAAATCAAACGACGTATTGCACTAGGCAAATCTGCTGCAAAAGACATCTTTAAACTGGAAAAGTGTTAAAAAGCAAAAATGTCACTTTGAGGACTAAGGTGTGCTGGACCCAAGCCATAGTATTTTCAATTGCCTTCTATACATGGGAAAGCTGGACAATGAATAAGGAAGATCGAAGAAGAATTGATGCCTTTGAATTATAATGTTGGCAAAGAACACTGAATATACCATACACTGCCAGAAGAACAAACAAATCTGTCTTGGAAGAAGTACAGCCAAAATGTTCCTCAGAAGCGAGGATGAAGAGACTTCATCTTATATACTTTGGACATGTTATCAAGAGGGACCAGTACCTGCAGAAGGACATGATGCTTGGTAAAATAAAGGGTCGGCGAAAAAAAAGGAAGACTCTCAGTTAGATGGATTGATACAGTGGATGCAACAATGGGCCCAAATGTAGCAACAATTGTGAGAATGGGGCAAGACTAGGCAGTGTTTCTTGTACTGTCGTACTGTTCTGTTGCACATAGAGTTCCTGTGAGTCAGAACAGACTTGACGGCACCTACCAACAACAACAAAGGATGCTAAAGGTAGTAAGCATTCCAGTGTTTCTTTGGCAGCCTAAATTTTGTTTCTTGACTTATTTTATAAGTCCAAGCTTTCGTACACTGTCTTCAATCATCCTTTGCTACTGTCCCCATTCTGATTTTTACTCTTCCCAGTCATTTTTTTTTTACCTTTTTGCTTATTCTTTCTCTAAATCCATTATCAAATCCCTAGAAATAAGTTTAAAGATTACAGGAAGCTACCATGAGAGGTAGATATATCAAACACCAAAACTTTTAAATTAATATATTCATTTAAAAATATTAATGAAGTATTTATCATGTGCCAGGTGCCATTCTAGGATATGTAATGAAAAAAAGTAAAGTTTTTGTCCTTTTGAAACTGGAGATACAGATAAAACACAAATAAACAAAAATGTCACTTCCCAGCAGCATAGACACAAATAAATAAAAATTTTTCCCAGCAGCATAAAAACATGTTGTTACTCCTCTCATCCTAAGGAAAAAAAAAAAAAAAATGAGGGTAGGAGGCGTTCCACTTGTGGGAAGATGTAGTAGATGTACTTTTCCTTAGTCCTTCCACTAAGCACAACTAAAACCTGTAGGTATTATATATAAAACAAACACATAAGACTATTCTAAAGGTAGAGAGAACCCAGACTAGCTAGCGACCTCACATGGGAAGTTCCCTGGGTCTCCTTGTGTCTCATATATCCCTCAGCTGGAACTGAAAAAGTTGGCAACCCAGAAATGCCAACAGACACCAATCAAAAAAGCCCCAACATAAGCCAACTCTCTAGCCAAAGGACCAGGAAAGAAGCAGCCTAGAAAGACAGAAAACTTTTAGACAACAACTACTCTTCTCCAGTCAAAGCACCACATACTTAGAATGACTAAAATAAATGCTGACAAGGATGTGGAGAAACTGGATCATTCATAAATTACTGGTGGAAATGTAAAATGGTACAGTTACTCTGGTAAATAGTTTGGCAGTTTCTTAGAAGCCAAGTATGCAACAGCCATACAACTAATTGCACTCCTGGGCATTTATCCCAGAGAAATGAAGATTTATGATCACACAAAAACTTACACACAAATGTTTATACCAACTTTATTAGACTTACACCATGAATTATTACTCAGAAAGAACAAAAAAAAAAAACTATTGACACATGCAACAACTTGAATGAAATAAATCTCCAGAGAATTTTGCTGAGTGAAAAAAAAAACAGTCCAAAAGGTTATATATTGCATGATTCCATTTATATAACATTCCTGAAATGATAAAATTATAGAAAGGGAGGACAGACTGGTGGTTGCCTGAGGTTAAGGAGGATGAGAAGCCAGGAGGCAAACGGGTGACGCTATAGAAGGGCAAAAGAAAGGATTCTTGTGGTGATAGAAATGTTATGTATCAATGTCAGTATTTTGACTGTGATATTGTACTATAATTTTCCAACTTGTTATTACCATTAACAAAAATTGGCCAAGGGGTACATAAGGCAACTCTGTATTATTTCCTACAACTGCATGTGAATCTACAATTGTCTCAAAATAAATATTAAATTAAAAAAAATTAAATAAATTCACAAGCTTCTTCTCTTAGGTAAGACATTCTATAGGACAACTGATCCAGTATTTTCAACACGTCAACGTCATGAAAGAAAACAAAAGTGGAGTATGGAAGCTATTCTAGATTAAAAGCCATTTAAGAGATGTAAAACCCCAAATTCAATGTGTAGATTTTGTTTGATCTTTGTTCAAACAAACCAACTGTAAAGGACATTTTGGGGACAAAGAGAAATACTTGAATATGAACTTGGTATTAGAGGATACTCAGGGATTTTATTGGTAATTTCATGACGTATAACAATGGTCACGTAAAAGAAAGTCCTTACTTTTTTTTAGATGGAAACTGAAGTATTTAGGGGTGAATGTCATGGTGCGATTATGTTATTGTAACTATTCTAAAAATAATTCAGAAAAATAGATTAAGTGAATACTGCAAAATGTTAATAGTTCTTAAATCTATGTAACGCGTACGTGGAAGTTCATTATACTATTCTCTCAAAATTTATGTATATTTGAAATTTTTCATAATAAAATAAAACTTGTCTTGATTCCATTTCCTCTACCATGTATAGCTCCCTTCTCAGCAAAATTCTTTGAAAGAGTGCTCAATAGTCACTGTCTCTAGTTCCCCTCCTTCCATTCTCTTTTAAACCCTCTCTAACCAGCCTTACTGATGAAGATCAAAGACTACAGCCTTCAGTATGGATTACGCCTCAACATAAAGAAAACAAACACCCTCACAACTGGACCAATAAGTAACATCATGATAAATAGAGAAAATATTGAATTTGTCAAGGATTTCATTTTACTTGGATCCACAAAAACACCCATGGAAACAGCAGTCAAGAAATTAAAAGACACATTGCATTGAGCAAATTTGCTGCAAAAGACCTCTAAAGGGTTGAAAAGCAGATGCCACCTTGAAGACTAGGGTGCACCTGACCCAAGCCATGGTGTTTTCAATAGCCTCATATGCATGCAAAAGCTGGACAATGAATAAGGAAGACCGAAGAAGAATTGACGCCTTTGAATTGTGGTGTTGGCGAAGAATACTGAACATACCACAGACTGCTAAAAGAATGAACAAATCTGTCTTCGAAGAAGTACAACCAGAATGCTCTTTAGAAGCAAGGATGGCGAGACCTACATCTCATATACTTTGGACATGTTATCAGGGGGGATCAGACCCTGGAGAAAGACATCATGCTTGGTAAAATAGAGGGCCAGCAAAAAAAAGGAAGACCCTCAACGAGATGGATTGACACAGTGGCTGCAATGATGGGCTCAAGCATAACAACAATTGTAAGGATGGCGCAGGACCAGGCAGTGTTTCATTCTGTTGTACACTGGGTCGCCATGAGTCGTAACCAACTCGATGGCACCTAACAACAACCAGCCTTGTCTCCTTTCCACTCCTAAAACTTTTCTCATCAAAGTCATCAACTACCTCTGTAATGATAAATCCAATGGTCAGTTTTCAGTGTCCATTTGCTTGTCTTATTTGACACAGTTGATGCCTTCCCTCATCTCTGATACATTTTCACTGGTTTCAAAGACACTGCTTTCTCTTGATTTTACTCCTATCTCACTGGTTGTTCCCTCTACATCTCCCTTCCTAGGTCTTCCTCTTCTCCCTATTCTCTTAAAATGAGAGTATCCCAGTGATCATATTTTAGTCTTTTTCTCTATCTACACTTACACCTTTGGTGATGTCATCTACCCCCAGAGACTAATCTATGTGTTGATAATGCCAAATTTATATCATAAGCCCAGATCTCTCTTCCAAACACCAGATTTGTATATCCAACTGGGATCTTCATTGGATGGCTAGTAAACATCTCAAACGTAAAATGAATAAAATTTAACTTATAATCATCTCCCCAAAACCTGACCCATCAAAGCCTTCCCTAACTCTGTTGATGGCAATTCTATCCTTCCATTTCTCAAGCTAAAGACCTTAAACCATCCTTGACTCCTCTCTTCCTCTCACATTCCACATCCAATCAATCAGGAAATCTTTATCAACTCTGTGCTCAAAATATATCCAAACTTCAACCTCTTTTCATTTCTTCTATGACTCTGGTCTAAGCTAATATCATCTTATAACAAAACCTTGTAATTTGTCTTGGGAGTTCCAAGTACAACCAGAATGCTCCTTAGAAGGAAGGATGGTGAGACTTCATCTCTGGTACTTTGGTCATGTTATCGAGAGGGACCAGTCCCTGGAGAAGGACATCATGCTTAGTAAAGTAGAGGGTCAGCAAAAAAAGAGGCAGACCCTCAAAGAGACGAATTGACATGGTGGCTGCAACAATGGGATCAAACATAGCAACAATTGTAAGGATGACACAGAACCGGGCAGCATTTCGTTCTGTTGTACACAGGGTTGCTATGAGTTGGAACTGACTCAATGGCACCTAACGACAAATGACAATGAATGACACTTACCTTGTCACTCTACTTCCTCCCTTATCCCTTACAGATTATTCTTCATACAGCAGGTAGAATGATCCTGTTAAGATGCTAGATCAGGTCATCACATTCCTCTGTTCAAATCCCTCCACTAAGAGGAAAAGTCAAAATTCCTACCATGACCTACAAGGCCCTACATGATCTAGGCCTTGGTACTTCTCAGATTTCGTTTCTTATGTTCTTCTCCTCGTTCACTGTTCCAGCTACACTGGCCTCATAACATGGCAGGTATGCTTCTACCACAGGGCCTCTGTTGAGTGGTTTCCTCTAGCTGGAACATTCCACACATCTGTATGGCTAACGCCCTCACCTATTTCAAGCCTGCACAAATTTTATCTTAGGCTTAACCTGACCACTGTATTTAATATTGCATTCTGCTACCACTACCACCTCACATGCACACGACATTTCTAATCTCCTTTATCTATATTTACTTTTTTTATAGTACTTAATACCTTTTACTTGTTATATAATTTATTTATTATATTTTTTGTGTCGTCTGTCTCTTCTCAGTAAAACATAAGTTCCATAGTGAAGAGATCTTTGTGCCTAGAAAAGTGCCTAGGAATAACAGCACATCTATAAATATTTGCTGAATAAATGCATGAATACTAACTTTATTATCATATTATTATTCACCTGAGCTGATGAACAACAAATAAAATACTACATTTACTAATTTTACACTCTATTTTTCAAGCTCAGGAGACCAATGAATCCCTAAATTAATGTAAAATGACATGCTTTTAAACTCAACATCAAACCCATATTTATTTCTGAGAGAGTCTTATATCATGTTCATAATAATACTTGCATTCCCTGTCCTTTTTGCTCAGAACACAGTTAAACACAAAAATGAAACTCACGAAGCCTGGAAAGATCATCCTGGGTATCATAATGATGGTCTTTGCTGCAGCAGCCATTGGACTCATTGTTTACTTTGCTGTTTACGGGAAGTATTATGTCTGGCTATCCAGTCACATGGATTTATTGATTCCATTACTGGGAAAGTTGGGAAGTTTGAGAGTTGGGAAAAGAAAGGAGTCAGATGACATTTTTTGGCAAAGATAATTTCTTACGGCTACTAATATTTACTGCAAGCTTCGTTCTTTAGTGACTTTTAGTTTCAGGCATTCTAATACCAGAGATTTACTGTACTCTCTTTTCTCTTCCTGAGAAAGATTTAGGTGCTTGGAATACACTGATGAATAAAGTAGTCACAGTTCCTATCCTTGATGAACTTATAACTTGCTGAGGAGACGATCAACAAGCAAACAAATAAATACAAAAGCATAGGATTTGAGATTCTAAGCTAAAATTTCTTATTCCAAAGTCTATGGTTTTTCTCTATATAATGTTTTCTTCCCTTGTAAAATTCTCCCTAAGAAGTGTAGCACTACCTCATATTGAGGGGTAAAGTAAAAAAGAATAGTCAGTCCAAACTTTTCTATATATTTTGAATAAAATAGAAATAAATTATGGAATCCTTGAATTTGATTTTTCTTAAAAGAAGTTCTTTGCACCAAGTTCTCAGGTTGGGAATTACTGCTTTAAAACATAATACATAGTATTCTGTGAAAAAATAATCACATTTAGAACAGAGGCTGTCTACCGAAAGAAATATTCACTTTATAAGGGAAAAAGAATTTACATAGAGGCAAACAGAAAAGGTTATGTATAGTGGAGTAAAGAGATAGTTGCCCCAGGAACTGTTTATGACTGTCTCTACTCCGTCCTTCATATATACCCTGCCATAGACACAGATGGATTGTTTGTGCAAACAAGATCTTTAGGTAGATTAGAATGCCAGCTGTTACCACTACCAAGCCAAGAGTTACTGCCAAACCAAGAGTCATAGTTATAGCATATGTCTATAAAACTTTGGATAAGAGTTGTTCATTTGGGGGATAGACAAAGACCAAAACCAAACCAGTTGCCATCAAGTTGATTCTGACTCATAGCAACCCTACCAGACAAAGTAGAACTGCCCCACAGGGTTTCCAAGGCTGTAAATCTTTACAGAAGCAGACTGTCACATCTTTCTCCCATGGAGAGGCTAGCGGGTTTGAACAACTGACCTTCTGATTTAATTAGCAGCTGAGCACTTTAACTGCTGTACCACCAAAGCTCCTTCATAGACAACCTGCAGCCTTTCATCAAGGGTATAAAAATGCTGGGAACTGGAGATAAGAAGAGGATATTTGAAGAGGTTGTCTTTCAAGATACATGTGCTATAATTTCTCATACCACCAAATCTTACCAGTTGCCATTGAGTCAGTTCCAACTCATGGCGGCCCCATGTGTGTCAGAGTAAACTGTGCTCCACAGGATTTTCAATGGCTGATTTTTCAGAAAGAGATCAACAGGCCTTTCTTCTGAGGCGCCTCTGGGTGTACTTGAACCTCCAGCCTTTCTGTTAGCAGCTCAGAGCTTAACAGTTTGTATCACGCAGGGACCATACCACCACAACCACCCCAAAATGTGAAGAATAGATAATCATCTCCAGCTGACAGATGGGCTTTTAAAAAGAGAAAAATCTGACCCAAAGAATATCCTCACAGATTAGGGAACACAGTGAGTTGGAGTGTGACTCACATCTGGAATATCTAAAGGGCAAGAGATTTGGTGCTTGTTCAATTGAGTGAAGGTGGTAACCTTGGGCAGTTTGATCAAGAGTCTGTTGGGCAAATAATGTGTTTTTCCTATGGACCAGATGCAGATCACCAAAGAAAAAGCCCCATCACCTTAGGCCCTGTCGAAGAGGATGCTGGAGGGGTGATCAGATTTCAGGTTAAAGAAGTGAGTGACAGCTCCAGCTTTCTGAGGGCTGAGGATGGAGTACACTCAAGCTGGAATTGAGATACATTTACCCACGTAAAGGGAACTATAGTTGAGACAGCTCCAACAATGCAGAGAAAGGGGAGTTCAAAGTTCAAAAGTACCCAGAAGAGAGTTTTAAATGTCTACTGAGTCCAGAGAGCACCAAAGCTAGATACAAATTCTTAATCATTCAAGTAAGAACTTGCCTCCTCCCATTTTCTGTCCTCTCCAAATGAAGAGAGGTCCAAATCCAGTTAATGAAGTGGGAAAGGAGAAACAGAAGGACAGGGTGAGTAAGGATCTCAGGGGGAAGAGAAACCTCAGCTTTAAATTAAATTCAAATTTTGACTATTTAAATAGGCTTTGGGATTTTAATTTCTGAGTTGAGACCTGTTTTGTGATTTATAGTGACCATAGGACTCTTCATTACCAAAGAATTAAAAACAAAATTGCTTTATGATTATATTCCATTAAACATGCTTGCTTGAAATAACAGTTTATATATATATAAACTGTATGTATATAGGTATATATATATATCTCAAAGATGTGGTGAAACCCATTTGAAATTGGTCACTACAGATTAGTAAGTAAGCACAAGTAAGCCCCTGTTTACCTTGCTTATTGGGTAATCCACCCCTGATCATAATGATATGTTTTCTATCTGATTAACTCTATTTAAGGGAGATAATAAGTACTATGCAAATAAATAGTATGGGAGAAAGGATAACAGTACCTGAAACTCTACACAGATTCACCTCAACAGCAGCCACTGGGTAATTATTATGTACTTAGTGGCAGATATTAGGCTAGGTGCTACAATGGGTTATTGCAATGATGGAGAGCTTCTCGAGCATCACTAGTCCTCACACTAGAAATGCTCTCCATATAGAGCAGGATCAGCACACTTTTACTGTAAATGGTCAGGTAATAAATATTTTCCACTTTGTGGGCCATAAAATCTCTATCACAACTACTCAATTCTGCTATTATAGTGCCAAAGCAGCTATAGACAATATGTAAATAAATGAGTGCAGCTGTTTTCCAATGAAACTTTATTTCTGGACACTGAAATTTGAATATCATATAATTTTCATATGTTACAAAATATTATTTTCAACTTTTTTCCAATGTTTCAAAAATGCAGAAACCATTCTTAACTCACAGGTCATACAAAGACATGCAACAGGCTGGATGCAGCCCACAGTCCATAGTTCACTGACCCTTGATCTAGAACAATGAATCTTAACCCTGGCTGCACTTTAGAATCACCTAGAAAGCTCTTTAAAAAATACTAGTGTCCAACCCCTACTCCCAAACGTGCTAATTTAATTGGTCTGAAGTAGAAACTGTATTTTTAAAATCTCCCCAGGTATCTTAGTCATCTAGTGCTGCTGCAGAAATACCACAAGTGGATGGTTTTAACGAAGAGAAGTTTATTTCCTCACAGTCAAAGTAGGCTAAAGTCCAAATTGAGGGTGTCATCTCCAGGGGAAGTCTTTCTCTGTCGGCCTTCTCATCAGTGTTCCCCCAGACTAGCAGCTTCTCGGAGCAGGGATCCTGGTCCAAAGGACACACTCTGCTCCCGGCACTGCTTCTTGATGGTATGAGGTCCCCCTGTCTCAATGCTCACTTCTCTCTTTTATATCTCAAGACACTGCCTCAGGATACAATCCAATCTTGTAGACTGAGTCCTGCCTTACTAACACAACTGCCACCCATCCTCCCTCATTAACATCACAGAGGCAGGATTTACAATCTATAGGAAAACCACAGAATACCAGGAATCATGGCCCGGCCAAATTGAAACACACATTTTTGGGGGGACATAATTCAATCCACGACACCAGTTGATTTTATTGTACAGCTAAGGTTGAGATCTACTGATCTAGAGGGAGATTAGACACACATATAAGATTCAGATACAAAAAAGTTCAGAGGTCAGTGATCCAGGTTCAGTATATCACTTCAAAGTATCAGAAACTAAAGGTCATCTCAACGTCTAAAGTAGCTGTGCCAGCTCTGACCACAATGTCCAGATTCCAATCAGCAGGAAGCAGAGATAAGGAGAAGAGCACGCCCTCTCCCAATAACGAGACATCTCAGAAGTTGCACATCCACTTTTGTTTTCACTCCATTAGTCAGAACCTAGACAGAGGCACTAGGTCACTCCTTGATGTAACGGAGTCTGGAAAATGTAGCTTTGATTGTGGATAGCATCTGCTCAGTTAAAAATCACACGTTGTATCACTATAGGAAAAGGGAAGAATATCAAGAAATAACTGTTTCTGCCTCAGGAGGTTAAAATTAGATTGCAATAGATTAGGTTGTGAGTCATTGGTGAAGAAACTGAGACATGAGATTGCCAGTAAAGTTTACTGGATGTACACAGAGAAAGTTAATCTTTCTAACTGATTTTCTCACTACTTCTATTTAAGGACAATATTTCCAAATACTTCTGTACTAACTATAAATGGAAACTGTTAGCCCTCAAAATAGTACCTTCACTTTCAAGGAATAGGAAATGGAAGAAAAAGCAGCAGAATCTAGACAAAAAATAATGCCTTCTCAAATTCAAATTTCTTTACTTTGTTTTCTTGCTTCTTATTCAAGGACCAGAATGTAAATATGTAAGTTACTCTTTCTGGACTGTCTTCTCTGTACCAAGCTTAATGCTGACTCTAATGTTCTGTAAAAGGCATCTCTTTGACTCCCCAGAGATAAGTCTGGGAGATTCTGGCCTGGAGAACCTACAAGTGGATAAAAAAAGCCAAGAACTAAACTGAGGGTATTCAAAGCAATCCATCTTCTAGGATAACTGCAGTTAAGAATGGGAGAGATTGGCTGCTGCCAGAATCCGGTTTTGAGCAAATAAGTCACTGTGTGAGAAAGATTTAGGTGTGGAGTCATGCAGGAACAAGCACACTAATACTGATATCACTTAATTTTAAGCCCACACATATACAAATGACTCTGGCCACAAAAATGAAGAATTCATGTAAATTAAATGTGAAAATTGTATTTCTCATAGGACAATCGTTATGTTTTTCAAAAAAAGACATAAGTCTATTTCCTTGAACAACATTCTTTCAGTTAGTTTTTCAAGTTATTTAGAAAAAAATACAAAGGGGAGAATTAGGCTCTCGTCTTCCCTAGAGCTCAGAGCTCCAGCTCAGAATGTGAACTGTATTATTTGAAAATATATGAGAATAACACTCAGAAGATATCCTACATCATAAAGTTTTCTCTTTGCTCAAGGTCTAGGTTATACTTGAAGGAGAAGAACTAATTATGAGACTCCCAAAGATGAAAGCTGGCACATTAAAACTTTACTTTAAAATTCTGAATACATTCTTGGGTATGGTTCTAATTTAATTAGCTTACTTTATCAGAGCTATTTCAATAATCACTGGGCATCAAGACTATTTAAATGCCGAGTTAACTGAAATTTCACAAGTCTTCTATTCGATTTGATTTTCATGGAAATGAAAGTGGTTACTCTATAAGCAAAGTAAGAACTATTTTTCCATTTCTCTCCTTCTCAGGCAACACACTTTTCTATTATCACATCAGCTTTAAAGTCGATAACATTGACTACGACAGCAAGTTTGAAAAGCCATATTCACAAGAATATATGGACCTAAATAAAAGGAGTGTCGCTGGTAAGTTAAATGTTTTTCTGCACATTGTCCTTTTCTGTGCTATACTCTTAGAAATGCCAGGATGCTAGCACTCACCTCCCAAGTAAAAATAATTGATAGTTTTAAATTATTTCTTACCACTACCTTAGTACTATATTAGGACAGTCTGTCCTCTTGAAAGTCATTTAGAAAACATGTGAGAGTGACACATGTCAATAATATATATTAATTACTTCAACCAATATTTAGTAATCTCCCACAAAGTGATAAGCTCTGTATGAAGACTTGGAGATACAATGGTGACGAAAATTAAGTGAGGTCCCTGATCTTATGGAGGTTATAATCTAGTAGAAAAGGCTTATGTTAGTCAATTAATCACCTATGTGCAACTTATATTTACAAATTTTAATGACAATGACGAAAGAAAAGTACACAAGTTGTAGGAGTATATAATGGAGGACTTGACTTTGTCTGGTGTTTAGGGAGGGTCTCTAAAGAAGTGACATATTAACTGAAATATATAAGATGAACCACTTGCTGTCATGTTGATTCCAACTCATGACAACCTCACGTGTGTCAGAGTAGAACTTGTTCCCTAAGTTTTCGGTGGATGATTTGTTGTACGTAGATCATCAGGCGTTTATTCTGAGGTGACTCTGGGTGGACTCGAAACATAATCTTTTGTTTAGTAGCCAAGTGTGTTAACTGTTTGCACCACCCAGGGACTCAGATATAAAAGATGAGAAGGGGCTAATTAAGCAAATGTAAAGATAGATACAAACGAATAGCATTCACCTGTAAGAATATTGCCTGGAATGATAACACTCAGCCTGAGATTTAAAATAGTACTAAAGACAACAAAAATGTTTTCAGTAATTTCTGTGACAAGTTAATTTTTACTGAGCACGTAATACGTCAGACACTGTGTCTCTTAAGTGTGTAACTGCATTATCTTATTTAACTATCAAAAAAACCTAATAAGAAGATATTATTATTAACCTTATTGCATATATGTGGAGGCTTAGGGCAGTTAAATAATGTGTGTGCAGTTACACAGTGGTAAATGACAGAGAGAAATAAAGGCTCCTGAAGCACTTTGCACTCCAATTCCTAAAAAATGCCTGACACGATAGTCAATGAATATTTTGAATGAATTAATAAATGAATAAAAATATATCCCATTTCCAAGATACATGCCCAAGACCATGCTCTTTCTGCTCCTGAAATGAAGCAGTCCTTCAAACAAGATGAAAGGTAAATGTAGGAGAAAGGACATAGCAGCTCTTCAGAGTAAAGATTGTGAAAATGCCTACTTGACAATATGCTTTATTTTAAGTTAACTTTTCCTGACTTAATATCTAACAAAGAATCTTGACTGTCCCTTGGACATAAGCTCCCATTGCCACAGATACCACTAAAGCTAATTCAAGTAACTCTACCAACCAAACCAAATTCTGTCAAGAGCAGTGATAGCATCACTCATCTCCCATTTCCCCAAACAGATTCCTGACAGGACATCTTCAGACCTAGCTCTGACTCAAGCTTGTGGTCTTCCCACAACATCCTACCACCTCCTGATTTCTAATAAAAGTCCTTGAAAGTCCTGGTATGCTTTACCATTATACTGAGTATTAATAAATAGAAAACGGAAACTTAAAATCACGACTTTGAGCCTAACTTTATGATAAAAAGGAAATGACAAGAAAGTAATATAGCACAATGGTTAAGAAACAGGCTTTGGACTTGGTGTTCTTGTTCAATTCTAAGTTTAGCCATTTACTAGTTGTATGACCACCAGCAAGTCGCTTTATCTCCCTACACAGTTTTTTCAACTAAAAGTATGATTATACTGACAAACTATTTGTTCCGCAAACCTTCATCTAAAGTACAATAAAAAGAAAATTTTTAAATGTACAAAAAAAAAGTGATTATATATACCTACATCATATAGTTGTTGTAGACATTACATAAGATAAATCACGTCAAGTTATTGGCAGAAGTCCTATCATTCAGTAAGCTCTAAAAAAATGGTAGCCCCCCAAAAAAATTACCTAAAACAAGAGCATCATTAGTATTCTTAATAAACTATAAGTATGCAGTAAAATTTGTGAAATTTGTGAAAATTTGTGAACCTATGTAAGGCAGAAACCTGTCAGAGAATAAAAACTTAAATATTTCCCACTAAAACAAGCGATGGAAAAGTGGTAAGACTTTTTTCCACCCTGTCAAAGGTGGAAAACTTGCAAGACCCAGACAAACAAGGCAGTCCATTCAAGTTCTGAGTTCTGGCTCTCACAGGTTTCACTGTATTAAAGTTAATATGTAACCTTAAAATAGATCCAAATCTACCCATGCTAAGAAAACCGACCTCTCTGCTATATATTCAGACCAATTCATTCAAATCAACTATCCAGTGTTTCCTACACAAATGAATGTTCTAAAACTATCAGGCAGCTTTATTATCATATTGGCCTGGTCTATGAACCCGTAACACTGATATCTTGCCTCAGACTCCTTTAGCAACCCATATTCCCAGTTTCTAACTCACTTGCATTAAAACTGTCACCAGATATTTCTCATACTTTTTCATCTGCAGGCATCAAACGGCCTGTTTTTACATGCCTTTCTTTCTATCTTCATTAAATACAATGATGCTCCATGTATTATAGTTATTATCAGATGCATACCATTCTTAAGTACAACACTGGTAATAATATACCAAATGCAGTTGTGAATTATTAGCCAAACTTACCTGTTATACTACCTAGTCATTACTGTAATACCTCCAGCCTAGTTTTCTTTCTCTTGTTTTCATTAAATAATTCTTGTGGTGATTCACTCTAAAAAAGGAAAGCAATTGAACAAAGACAGATGCTGCTTTACTATGAATTTTTTTTAACTATGGAAGACAGACCTTCATAGAGGACATTTTCAGGCTTTAGATATGTGGTTTTGTAATGAGAAACTAGAAATCTCTATTTCATTTCTTCTTTCTTGTAGCTCTCCAGCAGATATGATACTGAATTGAGGAGAATAGAAATTCCAGAAACTTAGGAGAAAAGCAGTAGCTTAACAATAATAACAGTCTTTACTAATTGTCAGCATTGATCTATGCACTTTACATATTACCTTATTTTATTCTCACAGCATTTTCATTTCCCGTACAACGAAACAGAGGCTTTAATAGGCTAGCTTACTCAAAGTCACACTGCAAATATGCTGCCACTCTTTTAATAATTTATTGTCTTAAAGAGCACGCAGTGATTATAAAATCTTGAACACATATCAGATTACATAGATTTCATACATCCCAGGCAAACATTCCAAAATGTTTAACTAACCAAATTCTACATTGTTTTCACACAAGGATGTATTGGATTTCATATGCCCATAAATGATACCTGATATGCCTAAAGCACCTAAAATTACCCCTGCAAGGCACACACTCAAGCTTATACATCAAACCAGTTACCTCAGCATCCAAGATCAGGAGGCATCTTTGATCACTATGCAACCAGGGCATTTGTTAAATAACAAATTTTCAACTGAGGCAGCCTGAATCTTTGATGGGTATATGCACCTTTATGCATATGCCTGTCTTTGAGTAGCCTGTCAAATGACAAATTATCTATCAAATTATGAATTCATCATGATTAGAAACATATAAGAAAAAAGGTAATAAAGTTAAGGATCACATGCAATTCTCCTCTTCCATCTAATATGGTTTAATCATGTTTCAGCTGAGAAAAATGATGTTAGCATCCATTCAGTTTCATGTCTCTCATAACATGTAAAACAACTAATATGAATTACAATAGTGGTCCTAAACTCAAGAATTACAATGCTCTCTAATCAAGGCTATTTTAAAAGAAATTAAAACACTAGCTGATGTATTAAATGGAAATCATTTTACATCAAGTTTCCAGCTAAGAAGGAGTTAAAAACATCTAAGATTTATAGAAAAATGCAACCAGCATTATAGAGCTATTATTAATATTTCAAAGGATGTGAAGACAACTTATAAAAACTACTGATTCATTAGCTTTGTTTTCTACAATTGGAAAACAAGGATAGAAGAAGTAAATACTAGATGCTGAGGATGTCTGCAGTCATGAGGGAGAGGGTGTTACTGTAAAACAGCAGAAGGGACCATCACTCCCACTTCACAAACATGTGCCATCTCCCTTGTATCCACTTCTGGGGTGTGTTTTGTGTGGAGGTGGTACTTTCCTATCTCATGCTGCAATCTTTTGTCACAAAATTAACAGTATAACTTAACTGTAACACCACCACCAATAAAAAGTTTTCCTGTAATTATGAGCTGATTTGAAGGAGGGAATCTTCTAGATCTGGATTGTCACATACAAATTAATTATAAAAGAATATGTTAAACGGAAAATACTGCTGTCGCATTCAAATTCAGTAAATTAAAGACCAGAAATTCTTCAGAAAAGTAGCTACACTTACTTTCTGGGATTTCCCCTTCTTCATGTGATATAGTTAATTTTGCTGATCTTGAGAACTTCCACTTTAGTCTAAAATTTTCCCAAAGGACAATCCCAAGTATTTTTTAAAGTAGTTTCTCAGTATAACCATATTTTGTGGGCTTTGTTTAAGTTCCTTTGTCTATTAACAACCGGTACTGACTGATACTTTTAAGTGTCCTGTATTTAATAAGCATTGTAATGACCAATTTAGCACCCATAAAGGTGAATCTTAACATCATAAATGGTAATTTTGCAGTTAATAACCTCATCCTTGGATTCACCATTTTCAAGATCTTCTATCAACATAATCCAGAGCCTCTTTCCACCTACTTGACTAACTGGTCACTTATATGGCATTTTGTGCATTTCATTTCAGGGAGAAGGGAGGGAAAAGGGTAGGGTGAGCTGGGGAAGCTGGAAGAAGACCAAATTAACTGCATCTGGTACGAAAGAGCAATATTTGGAACTGTGTTATGTCTTTTGGCCTCTGTTTGAATTTCCCATCTTGTTCTTCCTTATTTCTGGGCAAAGAATTAGTTCTGAAATCCCTGCTCAAGGCCCTGCCCAATACTTCTAAATGGGTTCCTGACTTGGCAT